TGGTTGACTGTAGTGAATAATAAAGAGAAGGATGGTTGGGGTGATCAGTCAAAATAAAAATTATTAAAATAAATAATAATATTTCTTTTAAAATAAATGTTATGCAAATGTTCAAATAAATATTACCATTTATTTTTGCCATTTTTGTTTGGCTGATCATCCCAACCATCCTTCTCTTTATAATGATAATAATAATTTGTGCATATTTAATCGTTGTATTTATTTAACACAGTTGCAAATTTAATAAATAAATAATGATAACTACTTATATAAGAGTTTTAATGAAGTTATAACAAGACACTACCATTTATGTAATTAATGTAGCGTATGAATAATCAATGTTTTTAATAAGTTAGATGCAAAGGTGAATGGTCTGTATGTAAGATCAGAATCAAGACCTGACTTTCCAGATCTACTGACTGGTCCTCGTGGGAAGTTTGAATGATACTCTCTTAATGGAATAGGCATACAGACAGACAAGGAAGAAATAAAAATATCAATAATAAATTTTTATATTAATTAATCAAGGGTGGAATCTTGATTTTATTTCGGACCTTCTCATGTACACATACATCTCCCTAACATTCTGCAATTAACTACTTCATTAATTTAATACCCGAGTTACGGCTAGTAAACAGACATATACAATACAATTTTAGTCATATACAAGTTTTATACAATAATAGTTTTTCTTACTTTTTTTTTTAAGTTTCGCTAAATATTTAATTATGTTAGGAGTAAAGGAGTGATTTGGACCATTCCTAGTTCTATTTCGTAAATTTAGGATTAGTCAAGAATTAAGGTAATCTTGAACTTTCATCAAAAAGTTTAATATTGTTTTATAAAGGATTCTTGGGATGAAAGAGGTCTCTGTTTCATGTCTGGATGTTTTATATTTTTTTTTTCTGATTAACCGAATCAATAATTTTTTGTTCGTATTCGTCCTGAAGTAAAAATTATTACTTCAGGATTTCTATTTCTTTAATGGAAATTGTATTAAACTTTATTAATTAATGTCCTTTAAAAAAAAAACACTTTTTATTTATTCATGTCTTAATAAATAGAACATAATTTCTTGTCGTAGATAATGAAAAGTATAATTCTTTACTATGTTAATCTATTTATTACCCACAAATCAAATTTTACTATTTATTGATTTAAAAAATATAGTCATCATGTGTTGTTCGATCTTCAATAAATCTCTGCCTCGGAGGTAAATTGTATCATGTAAATTTTTTATTTAGTAATTCAATTAATAAGAAACAAATTTTAAAAGCTCATAGTTATGAAAAATTGGTTCCCGTGACCAAAACGAAAATATGTCATGGTGTCCTTTATCTCTATGGTACAAACAGGGACGTCGCGTGGGTTTTCAGTGCCGTGGCCAGATTTTTTCCGGCGCCCCTCTCAATTCATACCAAATCGGCTGATACCCTGTAACCCAATGTTTGAGTAGAGAAAGAGAGTTGAATGATTAAATAGAGACACATTTCAAACATCAGCATAGCTTGCTTTAATTTTCGTTATAGGAAGATGTTTACTGTTTTTTGGATGACCATCACAGACGTGATCTATTCTCAGAAATAAACTTAACACCCAGCACGTTATTTTCTCTTTAAACTATAAACAAATAATGATTTAAGTCTAGTGCCAGATTCTGAATAAAAGAATGTGTTATTATTTACCTATAAACAGGATTCTTTAAAATTCGGATATCAAAAAAATATTTACAATTAGTCTATTGTATGAGGGTTTGTTTCAAAATCGTTTTTATTATATGTACTTTCTTATCAACTCTTATTTAAACTAGGATTTCTGTTAATTGGTTTTAATGTTAGTCCCAAATCTGTGGAGATCACTAGTCGCGGTACCCTGCCCACGCTACGGTCCAGGATTCTAATTTAGTAACTAAGAAACAAATTTTAATAGCTTAAAGTTATGGAACATTGGCTCTCTTAAAAAAATACAAAGACATGGGGTTGTTTACTTCCATTGCATAGAAATATAACAGTTTAATTAAAATTAAAAAAAATACTTTTACCACTTTTAATTCGTGTGTGTTATGATGAAATACTTGACAGTTATTATTCTTTGTTCTTGCGAAAATCGACATGCGATTGCTTAAAAAGTTATAGAATTTTTATTCATGTTATAATTAATTTGTCAATAAGCATTAAGTTCTTAAATTTAGTTCTTCATTTTGCTACAATACTCTCTTAAATAATAATCTTGGTTTAAAATATCATTAAAAGATAAGTTATACTAATTGATCAATACATTAATTACAATGAGACAATATATTAATGAAGCGAACAATAATTAATTAAGTAGAATTATTCATCGTAAATATTTTAAACATATATTATACGCTAAAATAAATATATAGGAATATAAAAATTAAAATATAGTAACAATATTTAATAAGGTAAAAATAACGGGTATATATAGTGCATTAAAATTCCAACAATTAATAATCCTATATATTATTTCTAAAAGGTGTTTTTTTTTTGTCGGTACGGCATAACTTCGTCAATTCTTCATCAAATCCAATGATTGACCACTCATTTTGAAGATATTCTTCTCCTTCACATAAGAAAAATAGTACCATCTCCCCGAAATTTCTGGAAAAAAAGTTATGGAGGAAAACTTTATTTGCGAATAACTCAAAAAGTATGCATTTTTTCTTGATTGCGCCCATGATAATTAGAAAGATTACTAAATTACCTACAAAACAAAAAAAAAAAATAATCGTAAAAATCGGACAATTATTCACAAAGATACAGTCCATTCGTTTTGGTATACTTAATAATATCTTCCTGTTTAAAGATATTGCATTTAGGAGTAGAATAGTCTACTACATTTTTTTTCCTGGCTTTTATATTAACTTTATTATTTTTTAAAGACATTTGGTTGTTCTTACATTTTATTTTTTTTAAGAATATCCTATTACCGGAGCATTATTTTGTCTTTATTGCTTTTATCTTTCCAGTCAGCGTTTAAAAATAGGTTCTAGCAAAGCAATTTGTACAAATATTTTGGTCTATGTTTAATGGAATATTGTAATCGACTAAGGAAAAAATATTAATTCCTACCTTACATAATACATAGAAACTACTTATTTCCATATTGTTTTACTATTTCTTCACTAAACAAAATTGTCTGCGAATTTTTCGCATGGGCCAACTAGTATTACATATTATATGAATCATACAAACTTAATCAACCATTGAATTCCAGCATCAACAGAAATCTATAATCCAAGTCTCCTTACCATATCGGATTAGTGAAATCCAACTCTTTCCATTTAAATTCTTTAATTTCTTCTCGATTTAAATTACTTTTCTCAAAATATTTTATCCCAAACTCTCTTAATCCAGAACAAATAGCCAAAAAATGAACTATAACCTCTCTCTGTTTCATATTGCAAAGCGTACAGAGCCCATTTGCATAGTCGACATACCTCCTGTAACTAACTTAGAGCTTATCTTAAAAATCCAACTTATATTCTTTGTAGTCAAATTATTATTTGTACATGTTATGTGCTGATTCAATTCTTTAGAAATTACTGGGTTTTTTTTTCTTGAGAGGATTGACAACGTACATTCTGGTCCTAAAAAAACTGCTTTTCATTGTTTATCAACAAATTTTGAAATATACCTTACTAAATTGAAATATTATTACCTAGATTTGGGATGTTTTTAGGTGTTAATAAAGGGCGTGTTTGATGATTTGTTATTAATTGTTGGAATTTTAATGCACAATTTATACCTGATATTCTCAATAAACATGAGTGAGTTAATATTATTATACCAGAATACATTATGTAATATAAGCTAACACCTTTGTTAGTCTATTTTCTGAATTCATAACTTCTAGAATGTATTTGAGGTGTGATTTCAGTGGATGAATGAATGTACAATGGTTTAACTTTAGATTCTTTATACAATAAATAATTAAGTGTATTTAAATACCTTTTTTAAGAAAAATGTTAGAAGTTTTTCAACGTCGTCATAATTTTGGCCACTCCAAATCTGTGCACCGTAGTATAATATATTTCGTGAAACACTATTAAAATATGATTATTACACAAATCGGCTTCATTTCAACACTCCTTTATTGTCCGCTCCACCACCTTTTGGAATTCCGTCCCACTTAAAATTCGCCATGCACCATCCTTATCCATATTTAAAACCCTCTTATTCCAATTCCTCCTTACAATTCAATCAGACGCTAGGTAGCCATTTATCATGTATATTATATATGTATATAATCTCGTCTATATGTATATTCTCTTTTATTTTCACAATCTACGATCAATCTACATCTTAAGATTTAGATTATATAGGACTTGTATAATGTTTACAATACTATTATTGTATTCTTTGAACATATTAAAGTACATATGTAAATCATTTAAAGTAAATATTTATCCACTCTTTTATTATTATTTTTTTCATTAATACAATGGTATGACAACAAAAGTAAGTTGTCATTCATTCCAAATCTCACTTAAAATTCCATAGTTTATTGTTTTTAGTAACTATCTTGCAGTATTAGGACCTTATTGCTCATATTATGTCTTTAATATATCAGTATAGTTATGTAAATCCTTCTGTTATTACTTATTTTTAGTTTTTTTTTATGTGCTTTTTTTATTGTAATATACATTTTAGCCAGATGTTATGTTAATTTTTATGTACAATATTGTTATTCTCAAGGGACTTTGTCCCAGAATAAAGTTGATTCTTCTATTATTAGAAAATGAAATTTTATTGTTATTGAAATTTTTGTTGTTGTAATAATTACTTTTAATTTGCATATTTCACAATCAATTTAATTTAGATGGCTTTATAATTAATTATTTTTATGATTAATTTGTTTATTGTTTTTATGTGGCTAACGATTGAAGCAAAGAGTCCCTAAATAACTATATAATAGACGGAAAAATATTCAAGATTTTTTTAAATTGTTAACCTAAAATCATAAATGAAAAGTTAGCATCTGTTGTCCTGGAGAGGCATTGAAGTCTCCCGTGGAAGGGGCATCGAGTCCCGCCAGTCTCTGCCGAGTTCTTGTCCAGTCAGGATGTCTTTGCCCCGGCTTCTCTTCTGCAGTCTCGTCCTCATAGTACGTACTCATTGACATAATAAATTATTGATGGACCATTAACGGATATATTATGATATATACTTATATACATATTTAACTTCAATAATGAAGTAAAATTAGATCCCTATTGAAATATAAAAAACAGAATTATCTTAAAACTGTCGTGTATTTTTAATGATGACTAAATGTTGAAAAATACATGTGAATATTTAGCACATTTTTTTGGAAATTATTATTCTCAGATATATTTTTTTTTTTTTGCGAATAAAAATGTGCTATGAATTTTCAATACCTTACAAATACATAAACAAATTGTTGTTTGCGTTTCGTCCTGAAATCACGCGGAAAAGAGAAACATACAAAAATGTTTTGTCTGCCTAAAATTTGTATATGAGATTCTGCCCTAGAGACATTTGTTACAAGCATTTTAATAATAATATTTTTATTTTTTTTAATTCGAAAAGAAAAAGAGAAATGGTTTATTTTCTTCCAATTCTGCCAAAATGCACTGGTTAGCAATACGCACAGCATCGTTATTTTAGATATGACTTAAATAATTTGTTTTTATTTTCATTTTAAATATTTATTGAAATCGATATTTTGTTTTCTTTTTCAGTAAATCTTTTTCTATTTCAAATAACTTAATAGTTTTTTTAATATAAAGTAAAAAGGTAAAATAAATTTTAAATTTTAACCTCGCAACCGTGAAGAAATAAGAAGGTATTTGAAACATGAAACTAATATTAACTAATATTGGAAACTATAAAAAAAGTAGACTATCATATTATAATATATAATTAAATAAATTTTAAACTGTTATAATAAAAAAAAATGATAATGGTAGAAATACCTGTTTAAATCATTAATTTATTAATCTATGTTTTTTGCAAGAGTATCAAGACCAATTACTCTTTTGAGTTCAGCAAACGTGTAACAGATCAGTGAACAAAATTTTCAAAAGCATCTATAAACGTCTTTATTAATCACTAATATGTTTTATGTTGAATATTTTTTTTATTAGTGGAAATTCACCTATTATACAAAAAATTCGCCAACTCTTAAACCTATCTTAAATCTTCTCAAGTAAAATTTTATGATACTTAAAACTAAATTATACTTATTAATTCGAATGCTTCGTTTCGTTCCAATACATAGCGTATACTTATTTTAGATATGACTTACATACTTTTTTTTCTTTTTATTTTAAATATTATGTATTATTGAAATAGATATTTTGTTTTCTTTTTCAGTAAATCTTTTTCTATTTCAAATAACTTAATAGTTTTTTTAATATAAAGTAAAAAGGTAAAAATAAAATTATAAATTTTAAACCTCGCAACCGTGAAGAAATAAGAAGGTATTTTAAATATGAAACTAATATTAACTAATACTGGAAACTAGAAAAAAAGTAGACTATCATATTATAATATATAATTAAATCAATTTTAAACTGTTATAATAAAAAAAATGATATAGATGGTGAAAATACCTGATTAAATCATTAATTTATTAATCTATGTTTTTTGCAAGAGTATCAAGACCAATTACTCTTTTGAGTTCAACAAACGTGTATCAGATTAATGAAACAAATTTTCAGAAGCATCTATAAACGCCATTATTAATCACTAATATGTTTTATGTTGAATATTTTTTTTATTAGTGGAAATTCACCTATTATACAAAAAATTCGCCAACTCTTAAACCTATCTTAAATCTTCTCAAGTAAAATTTTATGATACTTAAAACTAAATTATACTTATTAATTCGAATGCTTCGTTTCGTTCCAATACATAGCGTATACTTATTTTAGATATGACTTACATACTTTTTTTTCCTTTTTATTTTAAATATTTATTGTATTTATTGAAATAGATATTTTGTTTTCTTTTTCAGTAAATCTTTTTCTATTTCAAATAACCTGATAGTTTTTTTAATATAAGGTAAAAAGATAAAAAAAAAAATAAAAAAAAATAAATAAATTTAAAACCTCGTAGACGTGAAGAAATAAGTAGGTATTTTATGAAATGAATATGAAACAAATAATACTGGAAACTAGAAAAAAATGGGCTATCATATTATAATATATAATTAAATAAATTTTAAACTGATATAATAAAAAAAATTATATAGATGGTGAAAATAGCTGTTTAAATCCTTCATTTACTAATCTATATTTTATGTATGAGTATCAAGACCAATTACTCTTTTCAGTTCAGCAAGCGTGTATCAGATTAGTGAAAACAATTTTCGGAAGTATCTGTAAACACCTTTATTAATCACTAATATGTTTTATGTTGAATATTTTTTTTATTAGTAGAAATTCACCTATTATACAAAAAATTCACCAACTCTTAAACCTTCGATACCTTTGGTGTGTAAAATTTTATGACACTTAAAACAAAATTATACTTATTAAGAATAATCATTAGAAGAATATTGATGAATGACTTATTAACAATTTAATTAATATTGTCGAATTAATTATAAATACATCCAAATTTATCACATATACAGATATTTGAATATTGTTTACCTCTCTAGATGAACTAGATTCAAAGGTTAACATAGATGATGATCATTTTCATCGAAGATCTGTTGATGATAGCCTCATTCTAATGTTTACATAACACAACCTGATTATTAAGGACAACAAGATGTCGCTCGACTTCGCAATGGCTAGTCGAAGATGCTCTCACGTAAGGGTTGTACGAGTTGACGGCTTAGTATGCCTCAACAGCGAGGTCATAATAACCCTGCAAAACAACTCAATGAACGATATTTAGTTGCTATTAATTAATAAATCCGATCAATTTAGTTATGAAAAAAATAAATAAAACTACTCTTCAAAAGAGTTTAATATTACTGGGAATAATAATAAAAACATAATTATTTGGAGACCAATAAAAACCAAAGTTGATGAATATTTAAACTGTAAAATTTGACAGATATCATTCATTGATTTTCTTCGTAAATTCTAAAGCAAAGAAAAATCGAGTATTTTTATTTTTTTCTGGGAAGTTGTTTATTTATTTTAGTTGTTTGGCAATAATAACTTCCAGTAGCAATTGAGTATATTTTATTATCAACATTACATGTTAACAAGTTGGTTGACGTTTCGGGATATTTATTCCCATCTTCGGAACTGCAATCCCAATACTCTTGTGGTCAAAAAACACCAATAGAAAATTACTTGAAGCAATACACATTACAAAAAACAAAGAACAACAGTCAACTACAAAACAGACACTAAACATTTAGGAACCCATTATACGGACATACTGAACAAAATTAAAATTTAATAGAAGTGAAATCACAGACACATAAAATAAACACTAACAACAACAATAAAAATAGTCAGATAAAACAGTCAGAACCAAAGGTCAATTTTTTCACTATGGCAGAAACCCAATTATTGGTCAAAAGGAGGATGTTGCTCAGGATGATACATTTTAGAACATGAATTAGAAATTTGACGATGGAGCTTGACGATGAATTGGAAAATGGACGATTATTATTATTATTAAATTTAAGGTAATTATAAATTTATTGTAACAAACAAAATTCAAATATGTAATGTAACAAGCACAATATTATAACTTAAAAATTTTTTAGCCTTGCATCCACAAGATTATTGGGATTGTAGTTCTGAAGATGGGAATAAATATCCCGAAACGTAAACTAACTTGTTAACATGTAACGTTGATAATAGAAATATACTCAATTGTTACCAACTGGAAGTTATTATTGCCAAACAACTGAAAGAAAAATTAAATTATACAAAAGGTTTGGTTGAGAAAATGTTTAAAGCAATAGTAGAAATTAATTATTAGCTTAATACTAGTGATGCGGCTGAGTGAGAGGCGCTGGGATCTCTTAGAGTCCTGACTTCCCTTCCACGAGTGGAGAGAAAGATTAGGCTCGGAGATATTGAGTGAATTTTGTACATATATTGTATAAAAGCATGTGTGTATTTAAGTAATTATTTTGATTAGTTTAGATTCTTTTGGGTTATATATATATATTTAATTTTAACATTATTATTTTGAAGGAAGGAGATGGTCCGGGGTGGTGGTCATAAATAGTGGTAAAACTATTTTATTAAAAGCTAACGTTTCGACCCGACTTTGCAGGTCTTCTTCATGGAGGTGTGTTCAGCTAGGAGTTTCACTTAGAACTCAAACATTGGCTTTTAATAAAATAATTTTACCACTATTTAGACTATTTATGACCGCCACCCTGGACCATCTCCTTCTTTTATAATGCAACGGTCAACTATTAAATATTCATTGTTATTTTGCTTTTTATTTATTGTGCATTGTGCGAATGAATGAGCTACTCTTTATCACTATTACTATTGTCCTTAAACGTGACAGATTGTAATATTTCTCAATAAAGAATTTTCGAAAAAAAAAATTATTAGCACGTTTTACTATTTTTAAATTCTCTAATAATGAAATCCTTCTTCGAAGATTTGTAATAGGCAGAGATACTTTTTGGAGGTATTATTATTTTACAATACTTCAGGATTGTGTACTTAATTTTTAATTTATTTTATAAACATACAATCATCCCTATTATATGAATACAATTTTTTTTTTTTCAAATTCTACATATCCTGAAACGTAAAATCTCAAATTTTGAGATGGGGTTAAGTTTTTGAATTTTTTGTTCGATCACAATGGTTCATTATTGACCATAATAAACCAAAAGATAAAACGATATATACGAATTCAATATTTTTAAAAATAAATATAGGTAAATTAGTAATTAAATACGCCATTATTATTAAACAGTTCTCTCTATTCTAAAAAGTAAATATCATTTCATGGTTACACTGATGATTAGTACAAATATACGTAAGAATCAAGCAGAAAGTATTTTCCATAACATTTGTTAAACGTTAGCCTAATCAGAAATCAGTCTGAAAATAATTTTTTTATCATTGGTCAGATTTGTTTTGAATAATTTAATTGTAAGATTAATACGAACACAATGTTTTTTAAATTATCATGCATATA